AGGTATCCAGCGTGACTAGCGGACGCTTTAACCTCTAGGCTACCCAACCGCCCCAAACGCTATTTAAAAGCAAGTGTTGACGTTGAGCAGATTGTTAACAGAACATTGACTGTCATGCTTTCTTCAGTCAAGAAATACCTGTTAAGAAGAAATACTGACATCAATTCCATTTTTCAAATAGTCTTAAAATTAACTTTTGTATTATTATGTGTATAAGGACTTATATCAAATCTATGCACGGGAAATATTTAAGGATTATATCGAGTACCTAGAAAAAAATAAATTAAAAACCTGGCACGTATATTGACGGGAAATATAGAAAGGATTACTTCGAGATCCTAGGAAAAAAATCATTTAAAAAACTGGCACGTATATTGACGTGGTGGAGGTATTTGAATATGTACACTCATTAAGAACTGTACATGATCCTTGCACGAACCTTCAAGGGGTAAACAACAGTGATCTGAAAATCGATACTGCCACGCTCCCCGGTCACCGATATCATTTATATTAGTAGTGCCCTTGTGAGAGGGCTGTCGAATCACGCTTTCGTGGTCGTGTTCGGTTAGCAACTCTGGACCACCACATGATTCGACAAGCCATAACTTGTCTACATATAGCGGTGTTTCTATGCTCACGGACACTCTCATATTTTGTATATACACTGATCGGTTAAGGTTTTGTTTGAAAATACTCATGTTAATTACATTTGGTTATAGGTTAGTTTGCTGCCTCATTTAAACCATGTACGATTCTGTGAAATTACTGCATTGGAGATTGTGAAAGAAGTATGTTATTACAATGTACACACTTTTTCATTTGTACAAAGGGGCGGTTGGGTAGCCTGGTGGTTAAGACTTGGGTTCGATTCCCCACATGGGTACAATGTGTGAAAACCTCATGATAATTGTTTGGGTTTTTTTGTTGCTTAACACCAATACAACCATTCCAGCTGTGTGAAAGCAATCGAGTTCGATTCCCCAAATGCGTACAATATGTGAAGCCCATTCCTGGTGTATTCCTGGAATATTGCTAAAAGCGGCGTAAAACTAAACTCACTCACTCACTCATTCTTTTGCAAACAAAAAACTATGTTCTCAGAAAACGCAATATCACTCTGAAGGTTTAAAGGCTTATGTTAAATCTAGGACAAATAATAATCTTAGAAACATTCGTGATCTTTCACTGTCCTATTCCCGCACAAATCTCTACAGTAAATCATTTTCCAATCATCTTCACAACTTTGGAATAATCTCCCCTTATATGTTAGAGAATCAGTTTCCTTTAAAAGTTTTATATCGCATATAAGCTCGCGTAAGTCAAAAGCACCAGGATATTTCTCATTTGGTAATAGAATACTCAATGTGATTCATAGCCAGCTAAGATATTCAAATAGTAGATTAAATGGTGATCTATATAGGATTGGTCTTATAGAGAACCCTGAATGTAATTGTAAGTTTACCTGTGAAAATTCTCATCATTATTTTATGGAATGTTCTTTGTATTCTAATATCAGACAGGAAATGTTTCAAAATATTAGAAGAATTTGTAACATTAGAGCACCAAAAAAACTCGACGTACTATTTAATGGCAGTGCAGATCTTCCGTACAGTAACAATATTCAAATTTTTAAAGAAGTTCAAAAATTTATATCAAACTCCAAAAGGTTCAGTAATTGGATATAATGTTTATCATCTAAATAATTCATGTGTTCAATGTATTACTTTATTTTAAATATCTTATTCTCCTTTTGTATATATCTTTCTATCCCTGTACATATAGTTTGTTTCACGTTTGCATGTAAGCACTGTAAATAGGAGAGGGTTTCACTAAGTTGAAATAACTTGTATCCAATCCATTCTCTTGAATAAATATGCTTAAATCAAATCAAATCAAAGGATTATGTGTTCGTGAACGATATATACTTTTATTATCCTCCATTGCGGAGATCTCATACAATCAAAGATTACATCAGAAACAATGAAAATTATAAATTTACATCAGAAATAGAGGGTGACTCAGTCTTCTTTCCATCAGTACTGGAAGACAGCTTGTGTTTTGTAGTACGTAGTACACATCTTGTACACGTACCGTGCAGCAGTCAGTGTGAATTGTGATCTATCACTTTCACTTAAAGTGAAGTTAGGATTGCAGGATAATAGATTTAGAGTCAGGTCATCTTCAGACATATTGTGAAGAAAAACACTGAAGTCAACTGGTCCAATATTGGCAAGTTCACACCACAGATCATCCCGCACTTCAGATGTATATTCACATGACGTTATGATGTGAGACAAGGGATCTGAAAAGAAGTTAACACAGCGTTCACATACAAAGTTTGTAAAATACCTGAAAAGAATAAAGCATCACTTGTGCTCTGTTCACCCAGCATTGAAAGGGTACCCGGTGGGATATGTCGTCCTTATGTCTGTTTACCTTCTAACGCCTCACAGATAGCTTGGGTTAACCGGGGTAATAATGTCATAGCGTTTTTGGCATGCAACTATGCGTGGAATCAGGCGATTTAAGATTGTCCATTATAACTGAGTAGTTATCCTGTAACATATCTAGTAATTAGAGAGAGTACACTTGTAATATTTCTTGTTTTGTCCGGGTGTAATTTGGTAGATGGTGTCGTGTTGTGTTGGATTAGGTCAGTGGGTAAAATGAAGGCCTTACATACACAAAGAGACAGTCTTAATTTATCCCGTTAAACCAAATGTTTCGACCTTTATCAGGCGAATAATCTCGCCGACCGCATGCCCGAGTCGTCAATCGAAGGCGTCCAAATTCTATGTAGATCACTTGGAATATAATGGTAAAGAGCAGCGGTCGACACGGGTCCTTTCCTTTCGAGTGTTAATGTCAGGTTTGTCGTGTCTGAGTGCACCTGTCCCAGTAGCATGTCGTGCGCAGAACAGGGCTCAGTAGAGTGATTCATGGCGACGAGGCACGTCGGAGACTCGTCTGTTGGTCAAAGGGTTAAGTGTGAAGGTCGACTCTATAGATACTGGCGGGCTAAAGACATACCATACACAGAGAACACGTAAACAGAGGGCGATCATGGCGGCTGGGGCATGGCGTGGGGTGGAACTGACTGATGTAACCTGAGGTAGGATATAATTAGGGATATACCTGGTCATATACCTGTGATGCACCGTATATGACGTTTTAAGAAGTAGTTGTTTTTTCATCTGTGTATCGTCGTATTCCAGGTTCTTGCCACCGTTATGCGTTACCAAGGACAACCCCTGAGGCAATTCCCCGTGAAAATAAGTTTCAGTGTACAATGCTTGTTTTGTTTGTCTGTTGTTTAACGCCACGCCTAGTAGTATTTCGGTTATAGACGGTGGTAAGATGTTTGTTGCTTAAAGCCACACAAAGCCGCGATATTCTGTTCGTTGTTTAATTCCACACTCAGCGATATTCTAGCTAATTGACGATGATCTGTAAATAATCGAGTCTGAACCACACAACCCAGTGATTGACATCATGAGCATCGATCTACGCAACTGGGATATGATGACACGTGTCAATCAGTTGAGCGAGCCTGACCATCCAATTCATATGTCGTCTCTTAAGACAAGCATAGATTACTTAAGACCAAATCTAAACCGCATCTTCACGGGGTACAAGAACGGGTTGCTGAAGTCTCGTTAGAGGCCTCAAAGATGAACCCCCGGGGGGAATAGTATTTTCAGTATTCTTGAACAGTATTCTCAGATTCCTTAATCACGCCGTGTCAGTTTAATGACGGAGAAAACTCCATGATGCTTATCCATGACGATTACCACTTTGGTGAAACCCAAGACAAACCTTGAAACATTCTCAGGCCGAACTTCGAGATTCAGAACCCACAATCACAGGATCCTTGTCTGCCCACGGGACACAACTCTGTGATTGGCGTTGAAGCTCGACTTAGAAGGAGAGCCTGGTGAATAAATATGCTTAAATCAAATCAAATCAAAGGATTATGTGTTCGTGAACGATATATACTTTTATTATCCTCCATTGCGGAGATCTCATACAATCAAAGATTACATCAAAATACAATGAAAATTATATATTTACATCAGAAATAGAGAGTGACTCAGTCTTCTTTCCATCAGTACTGGAAGACAGTTTGTGTTTTGTAGTACGTAGTACACATCTTGTACACGTACCGTACAGCAGTCAGTGTGAATTGTGATCTATCACTTTCACTTAAAGTGAAGTTAGGATTGCAGGATAATAGATTTAGAGTCAGGTCACCTTCAGACATATTGTGAAGAAAAACACTGAAGTCAATTGGTCCAATATTGGCAAGTTCACACCACAGATCATCCCGCACTTCAGATGTATATTCACATGACGTTATATGTGAGACAAGGGATCTGAAAAGACGTTACCACAGTGTTCACATACAAAGTTTGTAAGAATACCTGAAAAGAATAAAGCATCACTTGTGCTCTGTTCACCCAGCATTGAAAGGGTACCCGGTGGGATAAGTCGTCCTTATGTCTGTTTACCTTCTAACGCCTCACAGATAGCTTGGGTTAACCGGGGTAATAATGTCATAGCGCTTTTGGCATACAACTATGCGTGGAATCAGGCGATTTAAGATTATCCATTATAACTCAGTAGTTAACCTGTAACATATCTAGTAATTAGAGAGAGTACACTTGTAATATTTCTTGTTTTGTCCGGGTGTAATTTGGTAGATGGTGTCGTGTTGTGTTGGATTAGGTCAGTGGGTAAAATGATGGCCTTACATACACACAGAGATAGTCTTAATTTATCCCGTTAAACCAAATGTTTCGACCTTTATCAGGCGAATAATCTCGCCGACCGCATGCCCGAGTCGTCAATCGAAGGCGTCCAAATTCTATGTAGATCACTTGGAATATAATGGTAAAGAGCAGCGGTCGACACGGGTCCTTTCCTTTCGAGTGTTAATGTCAGGTTTGTCGTGTCTGAGTGCACCTGTCCCAGTAGCATGTCGTGCGCAGAACAGGGCTCAGCAGAGTGAGTTATGGCGACGAGGCACGTCGGAGACTCGTCTGTTGGTCAAAGGGTTAAGTGTGAAGGTCGACTCTATAGATACTGGCGGGCTAAAGACATACCATACACAGAGAACACGTAAACAGAGGGCGATCATGGCGGCTGGGGCATGGCGTGGGGTGGAACTGACTGATGTAACCTGAGGTAGGATATAATTAGGGATATACCTGGTCATATACCTGTGATGCACCGTCGTGACGTTTTAAGAAGTAGTTGCTTTTTCATCTGTGTATTGTCGTATTCCATTGGGCGTCAGGCTAACAGGTTCTTGCCACCGTTATGCGTTTCCAGGGACAACCCCTGAGGCAATTCCCCGTGAAAATAAGTTTCAGTGTACAATGCTTGTTTTGTTTGTCTGTTGTTTAACGCCACGCCTAGTAGTATTTCGGTTATAGACGGTGGTAAGATGTTTGTTGCTTAAAGCCACACAAAGCCGCGATATTCTGTTCGTTGTTTAATTCCACACTCAGCGATATTCTAGCTAATTGACGATGATCTGTAAATAATCGAGTCTGAACCACACAACCCAGTGATTGACATCATGAGCATCGATCTACGCAACTGGGATACGATGACACGTGTCAATCAGTTGAGCGAGCCTGACCATCCAATTCATATGTCGTCTCTTAAGGCAAGCATAGATTACTGAAGACCAAATCTAAACCGGATCTTCACGGGGTACAAGAACGGGTTGCTGAAGTCTCGTTAGAGGCCTCAAAGATGAACCCCGGAGGAATAGTATTTTCAGTATTCTTGAACAGTATTCTCAGATTCCTTAATCACGCCGTGTCAGTTTAATGACGGAGAAAACTCCATGATGCTTATCCATGACGATTACCACTTTGGTGAAACCCAAGACAAACCTTGAAACATTCTCAGGCCGAACTTCGAGATTCGAACCCACAATCACAGGATCCTTGTCTGCCCACGGGACACAACTCTGTGATTGGCGTTGAAGCCGACTTAGAAGGAGAGCCTGGTGATAGCGTGTGTGGAACTTGCCTCGTTGACACTGGGAGGATATCTAGTGCTATCGACCGCTGTTCTAGTGGGCCAGGGGCGGTGGGGTGGCCTAGTGGTTAAAGCGTTCGCTCGTCACGCCGATGACCCGTTTCGATTCCCCACATGGGTACTATGTGTGAAGCCCATTTCTGGTGTCCCCGCCGTGATATTGCTGGAATATTGCTAAAAGCAGCGTAAAACGTTAACTCACTTACTCACTCTAGTGTACTAAGACTTAAAACTTGATTAGTTACAGGCCGTCGTATATTGACCGCGGCGAACATTACGCACTTACGTACCATATTGTTGTGAGTGAGTGAGTGAATATGGTTTTACGCCACTTTTAGCATTATTCCAGCAATTTCACGGCGGAGGACACCAGAAATGGGCTTCACACATTGTACCCATGTGGGGAATCGAACCTAGGTCTTCAGCGTGATGATCGAGCGCTGTAACCACTAGACTAACCCCACCGCCCCTTTGTGCAAATCAATACGTGTGTAAATGGTAATAACACACTTTATTCGTAATCGTTTCATTCAGTAATTTCACAGAATTGTATAAGGGTAATATGACTGACTGACTGAGTGAGTTTGGTTTTACGCCGCTTTTAGCAATATTCCAGCAACATCACGGCGGGGGACACCAGAAATGGGCTTCACACATTGTACCCATGTGGGGATTCGAACCCGGGTCTTCGCCGTGACGAGCCAACGCTTTAACCATTAGGCTACCCCACCGCCCCTATAAGGGTAATATGAGTCAACAAAAGCTTTAACCAAATGTAGTTAACATGGGTATTTTCTGTGTTAACATAGCTTCAATATAGACAATTACCTGCATAAAACTGGTCACGTCATCAAAATAAACAATACCAAATTCATCTATAGTCTTTCCTAACCACTATAAACTGGTTCAAAGTATGTCTTTATAATCCCGATTTATGATCAGTGTGTAAACAGCATATCGATACAGAAAAAAATATCTACATACAACTGGTGACGTCCTCAAAATAAATAATGCCTGTGTCATATAATGTCTTTCAGAACAAAATATACTTGGTCCATGTCTGTCATGGAAAGTTTGATTTACGATCAGCATGTGAACAAAGCATCAGTAGAAACATATATACTCCTGCAATTGTTTACATCTTCATCAAAATGCCAAAGTCATCTAATATCTTTCAGAAAAACACATAAACTAAATCCAAGTATGTCATGATAATCTTGATTTATTATCAGCAAGTAAACACTGCGCTACTAGTGGAATATTTACTCTGTCGAGTGTGTGAGGATATGTGTATTCAACGACACTTTGTACAATACTGGGTCGTATCACGACGTGCTGGTTTACTGTGGGGCAAAAACCCTAACTAGACCAGTTGTGACTCGTTAACCACTTCGCTGAACCCAGCACTGATATTGACTGGCAAACCAAGGATCGTAGTGTACGTGACGTTATCCTCAAGCAGTAGATCCTGATCCTGAACTCTTCATAGCAAATTTAAGACCAATGGCCCCCATTCCAATTCTGTGCTCTGAAGCGACGCTCCCTCACTCACTCACTCACTCACTCACTCACTCGATTCGTACAGACTAGTTGATTCAATTAATTATAACTACATACTACATGGAAGCTAGTAAAATTACGTAATTCCATTTCGCTAATGAATATTGGGTTTTAGTATGCGTGCGTGTGCGTGTGTGTGTGTGCAGTTCATTTTCATCCGTTTCCCCTGAACTCCCCTCTGGATCCGCCTCTGGTGATCCTATGTTATGGATAAAGTGGTTGTGTGGTGGTGGAGCGGTTGAAACATTCACTCGAAGGTTCGATTCCCTACGTGAGATTTATGTGTGGAGACTGAAACTGAAGTCAGTGGTACAGGCTGCAAAAGCTTTGACAATAAATGATTCACTCACTCTGGTCATATGCCAACGCATTTATTTGTTTTGGTGAAAGTCTGAAGTATGACGGGAACGTCGCCACTTCATTAAAAACAAAACTACCAAACCAGGATTTCCATAAAATTGGTTCTCAGCAACCCATGCTTTTCGTAAGAGGCGACTAACGAGATCGGTTGGTGAGGGTCGCTGATTTGGTAGATGCGTGTCAGTCACTGGATTGTCTGGTCCAGATTCGGTTATTTACAGACAGGTATACTTCTCTGTGCGACTTATAACAACAAACAAACAATACATATTATGATTTTTCTTTTCATTGTTATTCTTTACTTTCTTCCAGGAACTGTTCTGACTCACTACCAGGAAGATGGGTATCACGCCAAGCGTTACACGCAACCGTATGTACACCAACGACTCGAAGTCTCGGGTTTCCGGGTTAGAACTGGTCCTTAGCTACCTGTGCTGGTCATTGGAGATGGACCGGGTGGTCAGACTTGTTTGTTTGTCCACGTATCCCTTAATTGCTGTTCACAATATCAGTCACCGGATTGTCTGGTCCACAATCAATTACACTACAAACAAAAAGTATGGGAACACCCTGAAATTTGATAGGGAAGTCTGTCTTACACATGTTGTGTTTGGGCGTTTGGATCAAACATAGTGCTGGTGTGTTTCAGCACCTTGTTTTTCACTGTTTTTGACAATGTTTCATTTCACTTAAACTCAACGAATATTGAATCAGCTGCTTCACTGCATGTTCAAACATGTCGTTTAAAGTGTCCATTAAGCACACAAAAAGTTGCATTTACCTTAGAGTATAAATGACCTCACCACGTTTAAGTATATATATGACTATCAAATTTTGTAGTATATATACAGACGGTCACCATGTAGCTGGAATATTGCTGAGCGTGACGTTTAACAGAAAGAGATTAGTCAGTATTGATTCAATGCTATAGTCCTTTATTTATTTATCTGAATTAATCAGATAAGCCGGAATACATTGACAGCAGGGCTTCGCTATTTTATCAGCGTCTACACCCAAGGGACACAACTCTGTATAGCAAAGTGGCAACTTCGACTTATAAGGACATAATCATTTCAGCGTTAACGCAACAACACACTAAAACCATGAGATTAATGCTGAGGATGCTAAAAGATGAAGATGCAATTTGCTTAACCTTCCAGAGGAACCAATCCCCAGGTGGATCTACACGGTCAAGGTCAAGGACGAGTATGCTGTGGACAAGTTCGACGCTTTCTCTGATGGAATGTCCCACGTCACTCCCACAACCATGACTAGAAGCAGGGTGAGTCGTGTCGTCCTACACGCATGACATTATAGTGTCTTGAACTGGGTACCAGTTGCCATGGAGACAACGGTACAACAGCGGTTCCCCGGGCACCTGGATATTAGGATAATACATATGCTTTTGTTCAATATCGAGAAGAGTGTATTGTCAACAATATGTAACATGGTCATAAAACTCTCCGGTGTGTTAAAATTGCAAATGCTCTGGTGTTTTCTTCGATTACTTTCCGTAATTTCGATTACTTTCTCATTATTTCAAGTATATTTTTACAAATTGAAATTCGAGTCAGTAATCGATATCACGAGAAAATAATTGAAGTAACGAGTTTGAAAAACTAGAAGATTCGCGACAATAATTCATCTTTTTAAAATGAGACATTTCGGTTTACAAAATACGTTATGCTACCAAAGGCTTCCGTTTGTTCTGGTATTGTCAACTAAGCAACTGTTTGTGTCTTGTAGCCGGGCAAGTTCGACACGGACGCAGCTCGGTGGAGTCGTGGATTCACTTCCGGCAAGCACGTGTTCGAAATTGTCTACCCATCGGCCCACAGAGGGTCTGAAGCACCTGTTGGGGTCGGGGCTGAAATCCGCACCCCTTCACAGCAAGGGGAGGGTCACACTGATCGGCCACAACAGGGAGTCGTGGGGAATCGACCTGAGATCCAAAAGAGCTTTCCACAACAACAAGATTGTGAAGAAATACCCTCAGTCCCAGCAGATGCTCCCGGACAAGCTCTTCATGTATCTGGATGTGGACTCTGGAACCCTTCAGTTCGGCTCGGACGAGCGGTACTACGGGACTGCTCTGACTGGCATCCGAACCGGCGGGGAGCCCATTTACCCCATGGTCGCCAGTTGTCTACAAGGATCCACGATAAGCATGGTGTACCGAGGGGAAGGTAGGTCACTCTGTTACACATGTTTTGTTATTCAGTACTATAATAACGCTTAAGCGGTCGTTGTCGGCAGGTATACAGAAAAGTATACAGAAAAGTACCCTGAACAAAGTCAAAATACAGATACGTACCCGATACCTTAAACAGCGGACCAGTCCATATTCCACAATCCAAAAACGAAACCGCATGTTGTTGTTCCCGTTCAACTGACTGCGAGTGCTATTGTGCACCGCGAAATATTCGTTACTGTGTTTGGTCATTTCCTATATACAGGAATCAAATGCATCTAATACAACTGTATGACAGTTATGATCGATAAAACGACACAGTGTAATGTATACAGAAACGTACCTGGGGTACACATCTGCAGTCGGGATCGGGCTCGCTGACTTGGTTGACACATGTCATCGTTCCCAATTGCGCAGATCGATGCTCATGGTGTTGATCACTGGATTGTCTGGTCCAGACTCGATTATTTACAGACCGCCGCCATATAGCTGGAATATTGCTGAGTGTGGCGTAAAATTCAACTCACTCACTCACTCACTCACTCACTCACTCACTCACATCTGTAGTACCCGTGACGACAACGACCCCTTCAGTCGTAATAACACTTTGGTGGTGTGGATTTGGATCATATTTTGCATGTTCAAGTTTGTAAGACTTCAGTTTTTACACCTGCACAGTGTCTTTTACAAGGTTTTGCATTATGAGTGAGTTAGTGATTGAGTTTGGTTCAAAGCTGTTTTATGCTTTATTCTAGTTATATCATAACGTGTTAGGAGAGCCCATAGTAATTGAATTTACAGACTTGAGCTTGCCCAAGGGAGGCAACTCAATATGGCCCACTCGTGTTATTCCGGAACAAGCCGAAAAGCGAGCCTTCTTGGAGGCTACGGAAAGGGGCGAGTGGTGACTAATGCCCTGCCTCTCTTATTTTGAGATGTCACTGTAAAGGGTTCGATAACGAACAGAAGTTGTAATTCTTTCGATGTTGCCCCATCAAATATTGGTGCATACATTCTTTATCCGGAAGTTTACGGAATAAATCCTCCCTGACTCACTAACTCACTCACTCAGCATGTGTTTGTAATGCACTTATTTCGCACTTACATTATACCTAACATCTGCACATCCAGGTATAGTGGTGGAGGGCCATCTCCGGAAAAAGCGGAAGTGACGTAATGCATGCAACTGGACCGTAGTATCCACCGCCAACTTCCTGTTCGGCGAGACTTCCGGTTCCATGTCAAAAGACAGACGGCTGTTGAAGTTTTTAATGAACGTTCACAGCTTCCTTTGACTCTGATGTGAAATCGACATGCTGAATGATCAGCCGTTGTGTAGAGACTTGCAGACGATCTACTTCAGATCCGAGGATAGCCCCAAATGCCGGAAACAGCCATATATAGACAAAACGTGCATAAAAGGAGTTTAGAGTACACCTAGCATTAATATGGATAGTCTTAGAACAGACGGGTCCGCCACAGCTTAGTGATTTTCCGTATGTCAGCAAGAGAAGACTGTGTACTATGTTTGCCTGCAATATGCTTCTCCAAAACAGTGAGACAGAACTTACCTTAGCGATCTGCCCTTACCGAGAGTTAGGTGTGACAACATCCTTATAACGGTGTATGCAGAAACCAGTCAGGAGTTTTCATTTGCATTTAATTCAGTAGAATATTTTGTTTTGAAAATGTACTCAAGTTCAAAGTGACTTATTTGATTTGAGTGAGAGTGAGTCTTAATATTAGTGATGCGTGTACAAAATAGTGAAGAAGACAATGCTAGTTGGAGCTAGTTGGGCTCTGCGTTCACATATACTACAGTGTACACTACATTCAACTGTAATCCGCGAAGGTAATTGTCATAGACATATCACAGTGAGTGAACATTTTGATATACCGTATTTTTGTCTAATAAGCGCCGGGTCTCTAATAAGCGCCGGCAGTAAAGCAGCTCACTAACAATTACGGTAATTAGACCCAGTAAGCGCAAAAGCGCCGGGCCTCTAATAATTTATAAGCGCCGGGTCTGGAACTCCGTTGAGTGGAACTCCAGAACATGGAGTGAGTGAGTGAGTTTAGTTTTACGCCGCACTCAGCAATATTCCAGCTATATGGTGGCGGTCTGTAAATAATCGAGTCTGGACCAGACAATCCAGTGATCAACAGCATGAGCATCGATCTGCGCAATTGGGAACCGATGACATGTGTCAACCAAGTCAGCGAGTCTGACCACCCGATCCCGTTAGTCGCCTCTTACGACAAGCATGGGTTACTGAAGGCCAATATTCTAACCCGGACCTTCACGGGCGCTTATTAGAGGAAATACGGTACATAACGTGCATATAGTATAGTCAACTGCTTGTAAATGTAACATAACTGAAGATCAGTTACTTCGCAGTACAAATGTACATAATATAACAGTAAAGTAATTGCACTGTTTGTTCATACCCAGTATCCTGCTGTACACTAGGTGTTGCCCTGTGTTGTTGTGTAACGGCGTACTTTAACACCAGCGTTTGTATGATGTTGATGAACAACGGCTGTTACCATGGTAACTAAACCTGTGTATCCCGCCTTGTTGTTACAGCTGCAGAAGACCTAACAACAGTGACGACGACAACGACAGTGATAGTGAACCAGCAGACTCAGATGCAACCGGAGCCATGTACCATGATGGTCCCACCCCACAACCAATGGACCAGCAGCAGCAGCAGCAAGCACCATGCCCCCACCGGAAGTTTGTATGGAGCAACATCTACAACCCACAGCTCCACCCGAAGACTGCTCCGACCAGCCCCAACAAACCACGACCCAGCCAGAAGAACCGACGGACCAGCCCCAACAAGCCACGACCCAGCCAGAAGAACCGACGGACCAGCCCCAACAAGCCACGACCCAGCCAGAACCGACCGACCAGCCCCAACAAGAAAATACCCAAGAACCAGCGGGGGCGGCTGTACCTCCACCCAGTCCGGTCTACGAGAGTCCTCCACAGCCCGATGTATATTCTTCCTGAGTGCACAGTGTGGAGGGTGACACAGGCTTGTAAATAAAACATTATTACGTGATGAGTGTAGTTTTGTTGTCAATGAAGAGGCGAAGGTCCTCCTTTTGACTTTAAACGATCACCGAAACAACTGAATGCGTTGGCATATCACCAGAGTGAGTGGATCATTTATTGTCAAAGCTTTTGCAGCCTGTACCACTGAGTTCAAGGTCAGTCTCCACACATAAATCTCACGTAGGGAATCGAACCTTCGAGTGAATGTTTCAAACCGCTCCACTACCACACCACCACTTTATCCATAACATCAGATCAACGGTCTATATGGCGAAGACGAGATAATTGTTCAGTAACAGTAACTCTTTTTTCAATTAAAGCTGTGGGCACACAGAGATGCTTCAAGCGATTCAACTCCATTCTGGGAGCCATGCTGTCGGTCACATCGTACATTGTATAAAAGCAGTCTATAAATAGTCACATCCGGGCCAAATCTAATTGTGTGATATCATGAACATGTGATATCATCAGCCATCGCCAACAGTTCAGAGCTTGACCACCACATCCAATTTTGTAGCCTCTAAAGTTGAGTGCGGAGTACTTATTCAAACACTCCGGTCCTAGTTTGTTTGTTAGTGTTTAACGCCGCAACATTCCAGTTAAATGGCTGGCGGAGTTGAGTATTACTCCAGCAATATCACGGCGGGGGACACCAGAAATGGGCTTCACAAGTTGTACCCATGTGGGGAATCGAACCCGGGCCTTCGGCGTGACGAGCGAACGCTTTAACCACTAGGCTACCCCATCGCCCCAGTTAAATGGTAATGATCTGTAAATACTTGATTCTGGACCAGACAAAACAGTGATCAAAATCATGAGCATCGATATACGCAATTGGGATACGATGTCATGTGTCAACAGAGTCAGCTAGCCTGACCACAGTCAGTCGCCTCTTACGACAAGCATATCTTAATCTGAAGATTAATATCTAATCCGGATCTCCACGGGTTCTTGCCCTAGTATATATTCGGGTAAGAGCTGGTCTCAGAAAGAAAAGTGTGTGGCAGGTAGTGGTGTTCCGATTTACTGAAATAATCGAAGATTGGTCGCAGTGACCAAACGACCAAGCAATCGATCACAATTTCTCATAATCGAACATAAACGATTTTGGAACTACTGTTTTAGTCTTTGAAAAACTTGACAATGGAACATATCTTAGAAGTTGTCAGGGCCTGAAAACGTGTTTAATTCTTAGAAAACTCACTTCACTAACTGAAAAGCCATGACTGAATGTTTCTCTAAGACTCCAGGAAGTTTATGTTCACAATATATTAGTCATCACTTTAAAGTAGCAAGTTGCATCATGTTATACATATCTGCAATAACAACCTGGATAGGAAAATCTGAAAAAATGACGCTAACCAATTATTTTCGATGATCGTTCGTTGGTAATGAAGCAATCATCAATTGTGAGATTTCAACCAATTCCCAACACTTGTGGCAGGCAACTAACGGGATTGGGTGGTCGGACTGGTTGATTGTATTGACTCGATTTTATTGATGATCCAGAGTACATAAATCAATGCTTACGGTGTCAATCAGTGAACTGTCAGGTCCAGACTTATCAGGTTATCGATAGACCAGTGGCTTGAGTCTAGATTATTCTTCAGTGCGGCGTTAAACAACATTCAAGTCAAATCTGTATCCTAGATCCAAACTATGGAGGATCTCAGATGGCCTGAAATGCTGTCACAAGTGCAAAGGTTCATTATAATTGTACGTTAACTGGACAATATGTATTTAGCTCAAGAATTTCTGCACTGTAGATCGTAAACCATCCTGTTGTCCTTAACTTCTGAGTAGTATACAAGTGAAATGAATGTTGTCTTTAGCGCCAGCTTAACACGCAGTAAACTTTGTCCTCCTGTAGAGCAGCTGTACCTCTCTCAAGAACTTTCCCAGGGGCGGATCCGACGCGTGTGTGTGTGTGCGTGCGTGCGTTCCGACACACCTGCGCCCGAAAAGTTCCCCTGAGAACATTTCCCTGAGTGCAAACCCCCAACCCCCACACACCCCATTCCACTTCTCCAAAACCCTGGATCCGTCCCTGATTCCGCATGGATTTGTGCGCTGTACACATAAAATCATAACAGACAGCGAATTTATATTCATCTTTTAATATCAATATCAAAAAGGTAAAAAAGGTAATAAGCTCAAATAAATAAATATATATAAATAAATCAACAACGGACATGGTACATAAAGCTCAACTCAACAAATATGTGTAAAATGGGGCGTAAAATTGCAAAGTAAATAATGACTTGTTCTGTGAAAGACCAGTAGGGGTGCATGACAAAAATGGCAGCTTTTGACTTCTCTCGCGATCACATAAAAATATCAATGAAATATCGCATCTCAATATTTCATTCAAAAGATGGTTGTAACTTCATCTCTCTCTCTCTGTCATATTCAAGGCGCGACACATCGGTAAGCAGTTCTGTACGTGTCCCTCACAACTAGGGCGTATTTTAACCTGAAAATAAACAAATAATCAGATTAGTTACAATCCAAAAGTTACAATATCAAAGAAATAACGACCATTTTAATGGTAATTTATATAACCCTAGCGAAATATTGATGCATAAATAATTAAAATGCATTAGATGTAAGAAAAGGTAACTCTATTTTGTTTTGGGGTCAAGGGAGACAACTCTTACCTAGTTTTGACACATGTTTTCCAGTGCCATGGACCGCATTTTGCGATGTACTCTTCCCGAACAACACGCCGGTAGCTCCGTGCGTGTGGTACGGAGTGCTTCTCATATTTGCATAGTCTACAAATAGAAAAGTGGTGTCGTTCTGTAAGAAAGCGAAGGATAGATGAGAATAGGTTCAGCAGAGCAAGCAACAAGCAAAGACATGCACAAGCAAGAACGGCAGAAAGCAGCTGAGGAAGCAACGTCTTGAAAATTGAAAGTGACAGCAGAGTTGACGAAGCGTACATAAAATCACATTTCACTCTCCAACTACGCAACTTGACAAAATAACGATTGAGACAATAGTGGGTCGCATGTCGTAGCTATATAAAGTGAGTAAGTGGGTGAATTTATTTTTACGCCGCTTTTAGCAATATCCAGCAATATCACGGCGGGGGACACCAGAAATGGGCTTCACACATTGTACCCATGTAGCTATTATAAAGAATCGATCTTCTAAGTGACGAGTGAAGCCTTTAACTGCTTGATTACACCATCTCCTCAAGGTTCACGATTACAATATGTAAATTGACATATGTATTTGGTAAGAGTGGTGGTGTAAACGTACCTAGTTTCACAGCGCCGACCTTTGAACCCAGGAGGACATTTACACTTGTTGTTTTTCCTGCATCGGCCTCCATTAAGACAGGCACTGCGGCAACGTGCTGGAGAAAGAAAACCAGTCATGTTATAATAGTCATAAATATCACTATTAATATAGATAACTTCAGGAACTTTAACATTTTTCAGTTACTTTGTTGATTTGATGTCAGTGCAGCTTAGATAAAAACTTCTGCTTACCTCTTTGGCACCTTCGACCTGAGAATCCAGCTGGGCATGCGCAGCGATTAGGACCGGTACAAGTTCCGCCATTTTTGCATTTCTTGAAGCATTGAACTAGAAAGAAAAAAAGTAATCAAATGAATAAATTATCTGGAAAGTTAAAAAGTCACTTATGACAACAGAACGTTTAGAAGTTTTGAAATACGCCTAAGTGAGAGTTGGGTTTTACGCCTTTATCTATTGTTCCAATCATCGACACCAGCAATGGGGGTCTCTGAGAAACATTTGAATATTTACAATATAGGGGTTTATATGTCTGGTACTTACATAGTTGGCACCGGTTGCCATAGTAACCTCCTCTACATCCGCACACATTGGGAGCGATGCATTTGCCACTGTTTTGACACCTTGGTCGGCATTTAGCTGTAAAAGAAAATTCAAAAATATTAATTCGAGAATTGTAGATGTAATTAGATGGTTCTAATGCCGATGAAGTTATAATTTAAGTTTTATTTAGAGTTCTCGGAATCAAATATTACACGTCTGTCTGGAACACAAAAACGTACCTTTCTGGCAGTAGCGCCCTCTGTATCCGCTGGGGCAGGAACAACGGTTGGCAGCAACACATTTCCCGCCATTAAAGCATCCACGTTTGCAGGTAGCTAAAATACAGAAAACAGATATTTAGTTCGATATTTAAGTTATGCAACGAGGCGATAATTTACAAAGATTTTATCTTGTTATTTTTTTGTATTGAAGTTTATTTATTGAAGAGGATTTTTAGTTATAATTACTCACCAACTGAACAGTCCTTTCCTGTGTAGCCTTTCTTACAACGGCAGACATTATGCCTCACACATTTTCCTCCATTGTGGCACTGCATGGGACAGTAAGCTGAAACAAGGGAGATAACTCTCATTATATTGAAGCAAATAATTTCCAAGTCATTATATACTTGTGTATATAGAAACAAGATGAAATCTTATGAGTTAGCGATTTTTTATAGAATTGGTGTTTACATTTAGCATAAATACTTACGTTTGCATGTTGGTTGCAGGTACCCGTAAGGGCATACGCATTTCCCAGGGGCAATGCAACGTCCTCCATTTGAACATCCGGGTTCGCATTTGGCTGCAACATAAAGGTTAAAGGTTATTACCATTACTATTATTACTAGGAAATGAACGTTATGCTTCGAATTTTACTAAATATAATGCAAAGTTTTGACTGGTAAGATAATCATTTTAGCTTTCGTTGTTCCAATAATTATACTTACGTTTTTCACAGTTGACACCGGTGTAGCCTTCTGGGCATGCACACATGTTTGGCCCGACGCAGATACCGTTGTTTTCACAGCCTAAAGGACAAGATGCTGAAATAAGAGGAGAAACAGCTTTAGTAATCATTTCTATGAAGAAACTGATAAATAATACACAAGTAAACATTTTTATCAGTTCGTGCAAGACCGTACATGTTTGTACCAAAGAGTCACTTCCAAGCGTCATTCTCAGATAAAATACACCACCAAAAGAAATTTGGTTTCGGTTTGTAAGGACAAATTATTAAGTTGCGACTTTTCTTTAAGTAGGTAAAAACACATGTTTTATTTGCACTGTAAGACTACTTACGAGTTTCGCATCTCTTGCCGTTGTATCCCATGGGACAATCACAGGTTCCGTTGGCGTTGCACTCTCCACCATTTAAACAAGGAGTCGGACACTCCACTGAAAGGAAAAACAGTTTACATTAAGACCGGTATATACTACATTCCATGCAAAGAATTATTCATTACGGTTTGTTTAATTAAGTGACAGTTAATAACCGTGTCACCTTGACACTCCTGCAGGTAACACAGCCGTGTCTGCGTCTGAGGAGAGTCTTTGGGCACACATCGGTCCACAGCCACGATGTTGTTCCGGCAGAACAGAGTCCTAGATTGTCGCCCTTGACCACACGAGGCGCTGCAGTAGGACCACGAGGACCAATCAGAGCCATACACTGCAAGCCAAGAGGCCGTACAGTCAGAGAGCGAAACACAACAAGTATCACGTGTTTATAGTCCATACTACCAGGCACTACCAAGAACTACCAGGAACAACTTCAGAACTACCCAAAACCCTGTAGGTCTTCATGTGATCAGACACTTAATACACGCAGTCATAACCACCTACAGTAAGAAACTCGAAAAAGGACGGTTATAACTGACTTTATCAATAACAGGATTAGTGTATATGTATACAGGTTATATTGTTCGCCTTACCTATGGGTTTGGTTGTTGTGTTGTCGACATCAGTGCCCATGGGCTTGCGGGTGACGGATTTGTTGTCATCTTTAACTGGCATATTCTGTAGAAGAGACAAAATACAATCAGTTTCATGGTTATTATTAAAGCGTCTTCAGACTATTGTTTGATAGTGACCAAAGTGGTATATGATGTCTGTGGATATGTAAATGAGGCACCTACCGTGATGTCAGTCTGCACGTGGCACTGGAGCTCAGCGAAGCTGGGGTCATCGGACAGAACAAGTTGTTCAATGCTACCCTGTAAAAAACCAGAAGGGTAAATTCTAAAGTAACGTAATATGAACACTATATCTTAAATCATATATCCTTAATACAATTAGTAAAACTTTGTTGAAACGTGGATGTGATATCGTAATCGTTGAAGAATACAATCCTTACCCTGAAAGGCTGGCCATTCCTGGCAAAATATGGGCCGATAGCGACCATGAGGTTTTTCCCAAGAGTAGAACTCTTCCTTCTTATGAGGGTTTTGCTCATGACGGTGTCGCAGTCGTAAAACAAGGTCACAATGTCGTCTTTGACGCTGAACGCTAGCTGGTGCCACTGTCCATCAGTCACAACTACATCAAAATCAAGGGAGACAACTCTTCCATCGTGGTATTCCAAATACTCAAATTTAGCATTTGAGCCAAAATGGAGCCCGATCCTCTGTCTTCCTCTGATATCGTTAACTGTGAGAAGGTAACCTTGGTAACCAGGGTTCAGTTTAAAGGTCAATGCCACACTGAAGTCTCGCGGGAACGTGACTTCGTATAAAGATGCAACAGGAAGGAAAAGTTTGGCCTGGGGGGTGACTTGATATGCGTGTGACCTGTTGGTGTTCTTGTAGACGCCGAAGGGCATTTTTGGCATACCAAATTTGGTAACAAGGTCTGTAATTTCATCACATGAGTATGTATTGCACTTCCGTGTCTCGGTAGATGCGCCCGTGCACTCTGTAATATTTTCTCTCGAGCATGTACGATGTCGCATCTGAACTCCACCGTCACAGGGGGCGCTGCAGCCGTTCCACTTAGACCACGCGTGCCAACCTGAAATGACAAAGCGAAATGATTTATTTACCAGGACACTTAAATACACTGAACTAATTTCCGATACAACTATGCACTGTCCTTATAAGAATAAAAACAATAATCGCCACTTATACAGCAATCCATATTAATATTCACCACATATATAAACGAATGCTAGGGCTCACATCGGAGCAGGTACAGAAACGAGCGAATTCAAATCAACCATAAATCATAAATCTGTCTAATATCAATCCACATGGTCATAAATCTGTCTAACAAAAGAGTTCTTATGTGAACTTTTTCAGGCAGTTATTCCTTAGTCGTTTTTTATTACGCATCAAGTGATTTGCCCTAGATCAAGGGATGGAGTCGAACATTCATCTTGAGGATGCGTATCTCCTTGTTGCTGCGACACAGTCTCTCGTCCATAGCTGCAACACCCGACTGATGCCCATTGTGGGGCGTGTATTCACCGTCAGCTTTATACGTGTGGGTGTAATTAAGTGTAAACTCTCAATAATCTGTACCGGCCAGGGTACATTCGGCACATCAGATGGGGACACTATCAGCTCAGGTTTCCACTCAACAAGATTGGTGTCGTTTTCCTTTTCAATGACGTTTAATGTCGTATCGCTTGGTTCAAGTATTAACCCTCATACTTTTGTGGGATTGGCGATGAAAATCCATTGGAACTCTTAAATAGTAGTCACATTATACGATATATTATTCAGAACAGAATATTTGTGAATGGCATAGATAGAGGTTGATACTTGCGGCAATCTATTTCACTTGTAATGTGTTTTAGGGGTTTCTGTTTTAAAACTTATTCCGGGGAAGTTGAAAATATAAAGCAGACATATTGTAATATCGCCTAGGTAAAACTGGAACCTTAAAGGGTTAACATAGCCTATATTATAGTAACATTTATATCCACTGATAAATTCATCGTCAGCCTCCCGAATTTCATCTCATAATGCGATCCTCGCTTGTTCTTTCACAGTCGTGTACTTAGGTAGAAAAAGAGTCACAGCCGACTGAAAGCTAGCCTCACAGAGCCCTAGGCAAGGCTTTGAAACTTTGCTGCTGAGAAAAGCACCGCATAGAAATAATAAATGACGCGAAATTACGTGGAGCTGTTCTCAATGCCCAAACTCACGGTGGTCTGGTTGGGATGTTTTCATAATCGACCTAACACTATGAACGATGATGCAAGGACCGTACTCTGTGGTAGATGAGAGGAACGGATGCATCCTCTGCAACAACTCCATCATTGTTTTGTTCGCCACAAAAACCTGTGCCCTGACAATCTCTGAATGAAGCCCAGCGTCATGAATTGTGTCCGGGAAAGACATCGTTTTATCCTCCAAATACTGACAATTTGTTCTTAAGAACGAATTACACGTTAGAGAAAAGTAAGGATTTATCGTTATCATAATCACTACCAAAGCAATTTGTTTTTTGAGACTTTAAATATGCCCAAGCTTACTATGCCCAATCAAAACGTCATTTGTTTGGCGAATGCACAATTTGAAACGTGACGGGATAAGGTTTCCGATTTTACTGTCATAATTTAAAGATAAAATCGTAATAAATTGTTATAAACTGACAAAGTCTAGTAAAGATATCATCGGGGTTCACGAGGTTCGTCCACAGAGCCTGGGGCACATTTCGCCTGCAATACAATGTGTGGTCTGCTGATAGAACCCTACAAGGAATAGTGTACGGGTGGATGTGTACGAAACGTGTGGCTTTCAATCGGGTGGATGGTCTACACGGATAATAAAAAGAAAACCCAATAAATGCAGTGTCTTTCAAGGCAAATAATCAGCTATCAAATTTCTCTGTTTCGTTAAGCTATCGCGTCTCTCTTGTAGAAAGCCAGAGGGCGGTTGGACGAGGCTGGGGGAACTCGTGTCGTAACAAACACTGTGTCTACAAGCCTACTGTCAGCAGTCTTACTGACTGGAACTGTCTAGTCTAAGTTTGTTACTGTCGGTGTTTCGCTCAATGGGCATTCAAGGAGGGTTTTCTATGTTATTTGTTTGTGGTCGCTGTATTCAGAGGATAAGGGGGAAACTATTTGCTCTGGTGAAAGTCGCCCCTTCTTCCCACCCCGTGTTACAAGTAACAACATATCGTGGTTCAATGTCAAGAGATGGATATACAACGTAACACACGGACGCCAGCTAATTTAATGATGAACATACAAATAGAAAAACATGTTGCCGAATCTGTATTCCGCTAGAAAACATCTTCATCTTAAAATAGGCGATAGATGATGGGCCAAATATTAAGTTACTGGAAATGTTTCCTGTAAGTGAAATTACAAAGTCGGACTCTCTTTGTCGTTAAGTAGGTAATGGGCATTATTTCCACTTCTTCCCCCTTTCGTTGTTATTGCAACAAAGTGTTATATTGCAGATCGATATAATATCCAGTAATTAGTGCCAATCACATTATATACAACGCGTGTTAAAAGGTTGCCATCAGTAACGTCAGGGGGTCCTTTTCTTTCGCACTTAACTTTGAAACAAATCACCGGCTCGCTAGCGCATACAGTTTATTCAGACCAGCTAAGATAATTTTCTACAATAATTTCAAAAAGCATTCAAGCGGAAAACAGATCTGTCATGCATGAACGTTTTAATCCAATATCTCTGGCAAGTTCGTGTCAACTCTGCCCGAGTCTCAAGTTTAAAATTGAATTAGTTTGGGGGAAAATATCGTCACTCGTCAAATGTCGTAATCAAAAAACGGTGTAAAAATCTCCCACAGGGAACAAAATTAAACCTCAACTCCTGCGCGTGTGATTTCAACTGTTATTTCAGCTACAGATATAATAAAAACAAACTCAACAAAGAAAACAAGACTCTTGAAAAAAAACTATCAAGGATGGGTCTTAAATCTTTGTCTGGAATTCTCCAGGATGCTAGTGTTTGCGGGCAAGCGTTTAAACGTCGTGTATAATTTACAACCAGAGTAATGGCCAAGTTTATTGTTACTTAACTGTTTAATTCGTTGCTAAATTCGAGAATTCTATAAACCTCTGTTTTCAATGTAATCCTGGTATCTTACATCAATCTACAATAGGCTGATCCTTGCACTACATAATGCCAGGGAACACCTCAAGCGGAGCCAAAATATGCATGCATATGTAATTTCTGTCGTGGCTTTTCGGGTAAAATTTTAATCTGGGATGGCCCACACAATAACAGTCAGTCACTGCCACGCTCCAAAGATGATCTACTATAGAACTGTTCCCGTACACTCACGTTAGGAATTTCTGTGATAATGGACCCCAGCGGGAAAGGAACTTTAGAAACGAGAGGAATTGTTCTCGAACTAATTCCTGGGTTACCCGCAAAGCCAGAAAAAGCCCCCGTCGGTTGACGTCCCTTCAAGGTCGGTTAAAGGTCATGGCGTCAGCGGACCGCACCCGTCTCGCGTTTGTACTTTGCCAATGGACATAGCCCCAGAACAATAAGATATGTTTTATGACTATGTGAGATTATACGTTAAAGCATTAGGGAATTGAGGGACTTTGCAGAACAACAAAATTAAACGATAACTGCCACATTTAGTACATGATCGTTTAGGAATTGACAGGGTCTGATTTAGATTCAAATGACAACCGTCTAAAACATTATAAAATTATAAAGTTTTTAATGAACTTTTGCACCAACAAATTTAATTTGAAAATTTAAATTAGATCCATACGTTTGGTAACCAGGGTGATTTATATACGCTGAAATATGACGTGTTAATGTATTTTGCTCATTTCCCCAAGCCTTCTTAAGTTTCCGCTCAGTTGAAACTCGATGTCAGGATCATGCTAGTGAACATACTCAAGGGTTTTTCTCACCCTTCTAATCGCCACTTTAAATTTGCCTTGTGCTGTGTTGAGTACTTTACAAACACAACGTGGGTATGTTAAAGAGTTCTGCATATGAGACTCGCCATAGGAGCAAGTGAGAAGGACGAGTTAATCTTCGCTTTAAACGACATGTGATAAACTACAAGATCAAGTACACCTTAGAGTAAACAAGTAGCACGGTCTCAGTTAATGTTGTTATCAATGACAAGCGAATTTGTTAAAGGGAACTGAAGAAAGTCCTGATAGTCTATTCATTGGAATAACTTTTAAATAAAAATAAAATTATGAAATTATATTAAACCTGGAACACGGTTGTTTTGTGTTCCATTCTAAACAAAACTGACACACAAAAAAAAAACAAATGAGCACTATAAATTAGGAATTATACTATAGGGGTGTATAGTAAACGATTCGTTGAACGGCGCTAACATCATGGGGTACAGTGTTCACGGTGGGAGGCAGATTAAGGTGACATATCGTTAATAATTGTTTCTAACACTGTGCTTTATTTCCCATTCGGGTGGAAATCCCCTGCAATTATTTCTACGCGTTAGTAGTTTGATCCATGTCTCCTAAACTTTGTATTTGACCACTGGTCGCCGGAATGTCGTTGTGAAATTGACCATAAGGTAACCGTCCATCTAAGGTATTGACTGATTGTTCAGTGCCTTGTATTAACACGTCTATCACACGAGCTTCACTCTAACGAACAGGTGCCCTTGTGAAAATAGAAGCTGATTGTGCCTGTCGTTTCTGAATTTTGTTCGATTTTTCTGCATGAGAAAGAGCTATGTATAAGCCAAGCCTTATCCATTTACATTTAAAGTCTATTAAACTTTTTTCCAGCTTGTAATAAAAGGACAACCTATCACGACACCCACTAACTTCAGTCGCCCCGCCGGCCATAAAGCACATAGTGTCGGTGTTAAATTCACACCGTCGAGGTTTTTATCAGAAGGAGAGTTTGTTTTTGATTAATGGCAAGGTAGGCATACGACCTAAGACTTTAAATCAACTTTGTAAGTACTTAGCAAGTTCATAGCCATCTCGAATTGTTTAAAAAGTATTTAGGTATTCGGCATTTGTGACATTAATCTTCAAGCGAGGCGGATAAAGTTCCGACGTTGTCCGTTAAACAACTATTATGTGAAGTCGGTCAGGCTCCTAGGCAGCGGGCTTAGAAATAATATTGTGATTTTAAATATCTCTTAAAACCATTGAAAATATTGACTTAATTTTAAAAAGAGTTAAAAGAAATTCACAAATTGTTTGGTAATAATATAAAATCAAAGACTGAAATTATTATTCATTATTATTGACATTAAAACACTATTGATATTTGATACATCAATCTAATTAATTTTAGTACCTGTGTCAGTGAGAATTTTGTACAAGACATTGTATGGAATCGTACCATGATATGACATTAATATCACTGGCCAAACTATAAACTAACACGCTTGAGAAAGAGGCATGTCGAGTATTAACCTTGAAGTCAACAGAAATTAATTTGATCTGTTTAATACGACCATTAGTATGTCCTAACACGCAGTTTCGATAACTGATATTTCTTGTGAACTCACTCGAGTGCACTTAATGTTCTTTAGACATGGAACTAAATTCAAACAGTCAAAGAACTTCACAGCACATAATTTAATTGTAAAATGCAATTTAATCACCATTAATAATTAAAAATAAAAAAATTATCAAAGCTAAACATAATTGATTGCCCACATCGGAATTTTAGAAATTTAGAAATATATTTTCGGTGCTTATAAAGAGATTTAATTTCAAAGTGTTCTTATCTCAAGTAAATCATGCTATTGAAATCTATCCACCGTTAAACCACTTACCTGTGGCAGGTGAGAAAAAGGGTAAGAGAATCGTATTGAAAGCTCGATTGCTAGAAGGCTAGCCGTCAGTGTTCATCTGTCGAGATAGATGACTATCGCGCTGCCAAAGGGGACGTGATAACTCTATAAACTTCCGACCAAGATTAATAATATTGCGCTGTTTCCAATTACTCGTCATCCCGTGGATTCCTGCTGTTTACATTATATGGAGATTTATAACCATGATTTTTTAAACAGGTGTATTAATTTGACATTTGTAACACGGATTTGAATGATCACTTCCATGTAAGTATTCTATTCTCTCGATATATACGACTTTCGAGTCGTGAACCGAGTCTATTTTATTATCGTGATGTGGAAAACCAGATCATTACCTAGACAGGTGTTGTGACAGAAATCAGACAAACACGATACCGTCGCCGAGAAGATTAACGGATTATCTTAATCTTGTTGATTTGTAGTACTAGGTAATTAAATTACACTCGACGTGGTTGACATTACTGAAATCTTTCTCAGATTAATACTTATTTAAACAACAACAAAATTGAATACATTTATTTTGGTAAATAATTTTTCATTTTACTCATTTCTTAAAACCTAAGATATTAGACAATTTTAATTTTAGTTAATTTTACATTAAATGTTTAAAAGATGTATTTTTGCAATGGTGTCTTAAATCGAGAATACATATTGTGAATAATTATAAGAATAATATTTACCTAAATAATCCAGGATTTGTTGTTCATTTGCAGGAGTAAAGTCCGCCACAGCGCCAAAGATGTCGTCATATTTGGCGGACAGGCGTCCCTGGTACATTGTCAGGAACATGATGTGGGTGTCTCCAGGAACGACGTCAGCATAACACATAGACTTGTCTCCGAAGTTGCTGATGTTGTAAATCTTCCTGCTCCTCTCCACCGACGACACATCATCCACAAACTCGGCTCCTTTATACACTTCCAGCACCTGTACCTCTGCCGTGTAAGTTTCAGAATCCGATCTCACGTCTTTGAACGCTCGTACAACATTGCCCGAGATCACTATCTCAGCATAAGCTGCCCGTTCGTAAACAGTGAGCGGTGTCCATCCATTCAACAACAGAATACAAGAATGTGACTTGTGAAAAAGGTGAATAAATATGTATAATATCATCACGTATCGGATCTCTTTGCTGGCGAACATGATTGTGATAATGGAACACTTTTGTCGATCACAAACTATTGCTGTTACTATCCACAAGATCGTGTGTATATCCGACGAAGAACGATGTAAGTAAATACTGAATGAGAGGGTTATTTCACTGGTAGTTTTTTCGTATCCTACTCCCACAAGCTCTCGTTACACTGTACTGACAAAACACAGAGTTAGTCCCCTCTTATATGAAACGTGGCTGTTCCGTTGTCCTCCCCCGATAAACCGAGTCGATTTTTATAGGATCAGCCAAGCAAAACTCGGAAAATGCTATGTGCTTAGCAAAACACTGTCTGTGTCGGGACGGGGTCCCAGACAGTATGCTTATCCTAATGACGTCATAATCAGTAATTACAGGTCTGATTAATGCTTTAATGAGCGTGCGATAAATATGTTTTATTCTACATCTAATTTGCATAATGTTCAACGATTATGAAATTGTGTACATATCAAATTCAGATTTATCATATTAATCATCAACGAATATTTACACAACTGTATTGCAGACCAATTTAGAGCATGATATACCTTTAACAACATAATAATGTATGATTAAAATTCGTATTTATCTCTATGGATAAGATATCGCGGTATGTTTACGGTTACAAAATGACTTGAATCAGAGCGTCACTCTTGACAAAACACTCTTGGCGGAATACCGCATACCAAGCACCTGTTTTCTTAAATCCATTTATATCTCTGCAATATATAAGACATATATAAGCGTGTTTCATTAGTGACTCATGAGTCTAAGATACGCATGAGAGCCGAGGTTTTATTGATGCAATTTAGATAGGTTTGTTATTTCATTGATTCTCTACCATGTACTCACGCAGGCAAATGCATTGATCTGGGACGCCTGTACGTCTTTATAACTGTGTATTCTCTACGTCACTATACGTGTTTAAGATGTGTTCATAGTTGAGCGGATTCAGCCATCCTTGAGCCATATAAGATTTGAAACTTTGTAATTTTTCATTTTTTCCGAATATTTTTTTTCAAATTCACACTAAAGTGTTTCATTTGAAGACTATTCACCTTACTTTAATATTCACCTGATATTACTTGATATTCACATCCTTTCCCAGATATTCACGTTCGTTGCCGTCGCTTTGATCATTCAGCAAGCTTGGCGTTTAAATATTGTGAAAAACAGTTAAGGATCAAAACTTTTTCTTTTTTTTGGGGGACATTTTTTGCCACGCAGATTGAGAACACAATGTCGTAAAATATAATTTTATTTAATAAAAAATACCTCTTGCTTCAATACTCCCTATCAATTAAACTTTGTGTGTGTATATTCATTTTATACACATCAGCATTTTTGACTTTCTCTCCTAACACGCAATCGCCCTAAATCCTATGAATTTATAGAAGGTTTAGATCATATAGTTTAACATTACAAAGGCCCCGTTTTCGGCCATAATCAGTGTAAAGACCACGGTAATTTGACTTGGAGAGCTCCAAGGCAAAGTGGTACTTAGGGACAGTTTAGCCTGTAGGGTGTCGGGTGTCGAGATTGTGTCTGATAACCCCCATAGAAGGCCCTGGGTCTGACAGGTTATCGGGGTGGCGGGCCGTGTGCAGTGATTGATAGCAACTGACACCACTTTTCCGCTGCTGTGATTCTATTCGTCAAACTCTGTCGTTTCTATTCTGGGGTGGCGTTCCCTGAAACGAGCGGCAACCTGAATTCTTAATGTTAATCCAAAATGTTATTTGAGTTTGAAATACTTTCACCCTGTATTATCAATGGACATGCGCCATGCATTTCCTGATTGTTGAAACTATAAGACGTTTTATTTATGAAGATCGTTCTGGAAAGTACATGTGTGTCAAATTAAGCCTAAAGGTTGTAACACCCTGTATTAGGGAACCAAACCTCTGTTCGACAATATAAGCCTTACTATACCGTACTAAATTGCCACGAGAACCTGGATAGCTCCATCCCACATCATATAAACTACCAAGAAAAGAAAGTTTTGAACAGTTAGATAATAACATGAACCAAACAAAAAGTGGTTATTCGGGGTGGTGTGTTTGATACAGGTATCATCGTTGTTCCTGGAAGATAGGTTTGTGCATTGATGTTTTGAGAACGTTTGCAATGTTTCGTTTGATCAAATCCAATTGCGAATTTTAAAATTTCAAATTGGATCGGTATTTTAGCATATACAGGATCTATTGTGATATTCTCCACCCCAACATTTTACAAACTGCCAACACTATGGTACAACTCATAACTGTATGATTTTTAAACATAAATGTGCTTTTTTGACGATGATAGTTACAATAGCTTCACCATAGATACCTAACCAAATATTCATTAGTCAATACAACTTGTCAAAAGACTTACATGGTTACAGTTTTAGCATAAAGCAGATTTTATTTTGAAAGTTAGCCCTGCCTGTGTTCCGGTCACCGTACGTAGACATGTTCCTTGACTTTTGCCGGACAACCAGACAGAACGGCATTGGTTTGTGTGGTGGACGCTTGAGGTGACCGTCACTGGTCATTTCTTTAAAGTTCCTAATTTGAAATCAGTGACCGAGGAAAACTGTAATACACCATTCACATTCCTGACTAACAGACATCTTAGCTGCCTCTGTAATCTCTCCATCGTTCAGGTTCTGTCGTTTAATGGCATGAATATTCCTAGTTTAACAAGAAAACACATTAACAACACGATCAACCGATAGTATAATCCTGCTGCTCTCCCAAGACGAAAACCAATAAAATATATACCAAACTTGGTACTATAAGCCCTTAAAGGGCACTTCTTACATACGGATAATCTAGGAGATATGTCCCCTACAAGTGGCCATTCACCTATATCCCGATGGCTATTCCATTGGTCACCTTATACTAGAAGATAACGCTAGCTAACCTCTCAATCTCGCCTACCTGTCATTTACCTGCACAAAACTCTTTCATCTTGCCGACAATTTGCTTACCTGTTGAAATCGTCACTTGGCTGAAGTAGATTTTAAGTTCGACCATGCAGTGGCTTATAATAAGATATCGTGTCACCTGTATGATAATTATGTGGAATGTTGGTGAACGCCGGCTACCGGAGCTAATACCCTCACAGAAAGCTAAATTGACCAGAAAAACGTTGTGAACATTTGCGTCAGAGTGAATTACCATACGACACGACATGATATACCGCTGTATGATCTGAGAGATAGTATTGTGGAAATATAGGTCTCTGACCTACTTGTTCACATTTTTTTGATACCCATAATTCAAATCATCTTAAGTGTGAAGGGGTACAGTTTGGACGCATAGACTTTTCACATGACACATCGAGGGTATCTGATATCTACGCGTACGTGACTCTTGTGCATACGGTGGACCTGATGCGCCTGCCAGAGGCAACGCAACGTTTGTTTTTATGAACTGTTCAGATAATGGTATGATGTATGCGAATCTCTGTTATCGTATGTGTAATATCCTGGCTTCTTACTTAATCAGAAATTGATTATAAAACTCTTGTAAAGATTATATGTAATTGAATCAAATTATTGTATTTTTTTTGTTTAATTGAAGTTTTACGTCTCACCATCGCCATTGTTTCAGTCACATAGCAACGAGACACAGGCTGGTGCCGAAAATCATGTTTTGGACTCGTCGCTCAATCTACTCAAAAAATGTTTACAGCTGGTCTTTTTAATTTTACAAATCTTAATTACTACGGTAAAATATTTGATAAATTGCTCTCATGTATAACTCCGATATTATGTTTTGATTTCTGAATTCAACAACCTGTTATCGGCTATGTCTAACACCAGGTCGTTGCAACGTAAAACAATAATTCACATTGCAAACGTTGAATAAACAACATTCCATAGGCATGAATAAACACAACACTTGTCTTAACAATCGACTTGGGGTTATTCGTGATTGAATCAATACATTCAGGTATACGGTCTTAGACGTGTGTTTTACTTCAACACTAGCGACTAATTCAATCATCTGCAACACAACGGAGGATTGCTAATCTTGTCAGCTGTAAGAAAGGATATACTTCATGATCCAGACGTGATGTCTGAGTGAATTTAGTTCTTAAAAGTTAAATAAATCACCGCAAAACCGGGTAATCGTTTAGCGCGCCAGTAGCTAATCCTACCTAATGTCGTAATAGTTAAAACAACAACTCTGGCCAATTAAGGTAAATTTCGTTGTTTGTTAATACATACATCAGCTGCTCGAGACAGACCGTCTGAGTTGAATCAGTGTTCTTACGGAGGAGTAGTATATTCGGCTCTTCCTCACACCTCCCTCGCGTTACTATTTATATCTACTGAATATTTATTGAAGCTGACAATAAATTGCAGAATTGATCTTTGGACGAAACCGTTTTTTCTGTATTGAATTATACTGATTACTTAGATATAATACGACCATAGTTGCTGCAACAAACTAACCAATATAAATATATTGATTGAAGCGAAATTGTGGGAAAGTTGAGTAAACGAGTAAATGGTTACGTCTTTCAGAAAACTAGCAGCAGCTATTTAACTAACGTTCCAATCGATTCAATTCTTTATTATCCTTCATCGTTACAGATAATCGGCGTTTGTATACAGACGTGGCCATTTAATCACAACTTGGACCAAAGATCAATTGCATCAACAACAACCTTGTTTCACACTCAACATTTACCCTTGATTAATGGTTAAAACAACACAGGACTAATCACGTCGCCTTGCACCACACCACTCAAAAAATCCAGACAGCGTGTCTGTGTATTCATTACCATACGGTAATTAAGGAAATCTGATGGAATGACTGCTTCTGTGAGTGTCTATTAAACTTGCAGCCATTTAATAGTTAAAACAACAAATCTCGCCATGATCCGTTAATCCGTTAAACACAAATCACTTACTCGAGACAGGCTGTCTGACCTGGCTCGCGACAGTCCGATGTTTGGCAGTTCCATCATCCTCCCTCGACAAGCGTCATTTGACTCATTTTCTCGACGAGTTGTGTGCATAATTTATGACAGAATTTAACAGAGTTACTACTTTATGCAAATTATAGGAGTCACGGATGGTACCGATATAGCAACATTTATTTTGGCGAGTAACCTTGAGTTGTCACAGACTTTTAGTGACCCACTTATATTTAGTTTATATCACTATTTTGCCTTTTCTGCAGAATTTGGAATCTGTTTCTGCGGGTTATTGAAACTGATTAATTTCGTGCTTGATATGTTATATTTCAACGGTGTCACTCCAACAGCTTCATTGAATCTTGTCTCAATGTACTCATCCGAAGATGGAGGACCAGAAACTAAATATCGAGCAGGACTATATATACGAACTAAACATCTATCAGAACAATATATACATACTACATCGCACCCTCTGTGCATTTAAAAATTATGTAAAACAAATACCAAAGATTTGAAATAATCAACACTTTAAGGAAATTACTTTATGGAAATAACACACGGTTTCGCAGAGCATGTTTTTCTTGAAAAGGGCAGCTGATTGATCATTAACATTGTTGTAACAGTAAACAATGAATCTTCGATTAAGACAGAATTTAACTCTACGGATTACCGCTAATCTTGTCATTTCAAATAAAAAACTACTCCGCTAATCCAGACGCATGTCTGAGTGTAATTTGACCCTAGTATTGTACACACCATCGCGAGTCAGACCGCCAGTAGCTAATCCTTCATCGAGAGATGCAATGGGTAAAACAACAAATCTGGCCGATTACTGTTAATTTCATTGCATGTCAATACAAACAGCAGCTGCTCGAGACAGACCGTCTGACTTGAATCAGTGCCCTTATGAATGAGTTGTTTAATCGGCTTTTCCAAACACCTCCCTCGCGTTCCTGCCTAGATTTTAAGAGTGACCATCAAAGTTAGAAGTGTAAAGTGAGAAGCAAAATACGGTTTTAATCTCAACTATGATAGTTAGTGGAAAATATCTTAACTTTGCGATCAGGGGCGGGTGTTTTTTTATATTTTAATTGACAATGTCCAAAGTTAGCGATAAAAAACAAAACTAGGCTGGTGCTTAGT